TATATATATATATATATATAGAGAGAGAGAGAGAGAGTTGTGTGTTTGTTTTATAGCAAAGCTACATCGGGCTATCTGCTGTGTCCACCAAGGGGAATGAATCGAACCTCTGATTTTAGCGTTGTTAATCCATAGACTTACCGGCTGTCCCACCGGGGGACACACATATATATTGTTTGTTTTGTTTTTAATTATGCACAAAGCTACACAAGGGCTATCTGTGCTCTGTCCACAACGGTATCGAAACCAGGTTTCTAGCGTTGTAAGTCCGCAGACATACCGCTGTGCTACTGGGGGGCACACACACATAATATATATATAGAGATGTTGAACGTTTAACCAAAATTGAAGCGGACTGTGAAAAACATTAGATATCGTAGTTCTAAAAATGTCTATTAATTTAACCATGCAAATATTTAGTTTTTGATTTTACCTCTATTATAGAATTGAAGAAGACATCAAGACCGAATTGGGTAAGACCCTGAAAGAAACCTTGGACAATGTTCTACAAAAGATCAAGGATTCTCTTGATCACGGGAAAGAAGTTAGCAAAGATCTTCTAGACAAAGTAAAGACCACTTTCAATTCTTATGAAATTATATTTTACCTACTCTCTGGGAATGACACTTTACTACATTATAATCTAAAATATATAATTTAGTTTAGAGTAACTGTTACCTTTGTTCTACTACAGGCAAAGGATATTGTCGGTCAGTTGAAAGATCTTGGAATTGATGCTGGTACAAAAGCCTTGGAACTCCTGAACCGATTGAAAGAAAGGTTACGGGATTGGGTGAAATCCCTTTTGGAGAAGTTGGGTATTGGCAAGAGGAACATTTTGGATATATTGCGTGAACTCATTAAGGATCTTGACCTCAGGGCCATCCTCATCAGAATCAGAGACAAGGTACAATTCCTCTTATGACATTTTGTGTGAAGTTTACACTTTTTTAGCTGAGAGATAATTTGTTATGTTAGAGTTATCTTGACCTCTTGGATTTTGTTCTCTCCTTGTTCGGTTATCTTTTGAAGTTCTTTGTTTCTTAATTAACTAATTATTTTAATGTGATAGAACGGCTTGTTAACATTGGTTAACTTCTACTTTAGATTATCGAGAAGGTTAACATCGAATCTATCGTTAACTACATCCGTGAGAAGCTCAAAGACAAAACTGAGGTACGTTATTATATTCTATAAAACTAAGGTAAAATGATTCAACAAAGAAGCGATATAATGTAACATTATATAAAAATTAATATTTATAACTATTGCTCAATCACAGAAAAACAACAAGAAGATAGTTAAAACATTGATGTTTTGGGAACTACAATGAGAAACAGATAATGATCCAAACGACGAGAATCCAACCCAGTAATGTAGCATTAAGAAGCTTTTTTTTTAAATTTATGTCGCATTTATCTTAGACCATTGTTGTTTAGGTTGGCAAAATAACATTTATTAAAACTAGCTTTAAATAGGACTATGCGAGTTTTGGTTTCCCCTCTAGTTTGTAGCACATATAATTTATACCGAATTTTATTATTTATACTAATTATTGAATTTAGGATTTATACATACCTTCTTATGTCTTCAAAAGAACTAAAACAAGAATGCAACGAATTTATTGATATCATATGCTTTACTAATTGTAATTGATATTTTTTTCAGCTGGTGAGAAAACTATTGGAGATCATTAAAAACCAGGGCATTGATGCTCTAAGAGACCTTATTGACAGGATTCTGAATATTGGTGGTCAATATTCAATCATTGAACTGTGGCAGAAGATAAAGAACTTCTTCAAGGATTTAGGTATAAAAATACAAGAGAAGTTTTTCAAGTTTGCTGAGTGGGTGAAGTCCATCTGGAGTGTTGGTCTCGAAGCTGCAAAGGATAAACTGGCCAAGGTTAAGATCATCGCTCAAGAGGTAAGAAATGTATAAAACTCAGCAAGCAGTCTCGTAAGAATGTTTGGTAAGTTAAAATGACAGTACATACTAGACAGAGTTCGTAAAGAAAATCCTTGTAAGCACATGCGAGCCTGTATTATTTATTGATTAAATAGATTCATTAAAAAGTATGTACTCTTTCTAAGAAAATTATATATATATATATATATTACTATTGTTTTACCGTACAGTTTATCGACCATGCTAAAGACGTCAGTGCTGAAGTTGCCCGGGAAGCCTTGGAGTTTTTCAGACCATACAAGGATGATTTGGGAGGACTTTGGGACAAACTGGTCGAAGAAGCCAAAAAGATCATTGGAGTCTCTCCTTAGTTTCCTGGCTTTTGCTTTCCTATCAGTTTCTTCCTCTTGGTAAAAATATTGTACGTTGTAACGTGCCTGTATTGGAGACTTATGATAAACATTTGTAAAAAAGAATTCATGAAATTAAATGAACTTTTATGAGGAAATTACTGTTTGATCTATACTAATTTAAAGTATACTTGAACCACAGCAAGTTTTTTTTTAAGCAAAAAATTACAACTTTTGTTTCAAATATTTTCGTAGGGTGGACAGTTCTTTGATGAAAAATAGTCCACTCTTTTGAAAGTAGCTGAGCTAAGGGCTTTTACAACATTATTACAATTTGGATGACAATAATATTGTCATATAAGCCAAACTAGTTAACAGCATGAAACACTTATCACTTGACATATACAAAATGGGAATTATAAATGTCGTATTTTTTAATAGACGTGTTATATCTCAAACATTTTCAATGAGTTCCAAATGTTATTAACTCATTATTCAAACCATGCGATATCAAACTATTAACTATTTGTTTAGTTTTAGGAAATAATAAACAGAGTTCTTGAAGAAAACTGATTGAGATGGGGGGAAAAAAGCTTATTTTCTGTATTGAGCAGGCACTATGAGTTTTGAAAAAACAAAAACATTTACCATTGCTCGTTTTCAACAACTGAAAAAGAAATACTGAAAACAGTAAATTAATTTTGATATGTAATTTATCTCATCGTTAATATTGCCAAGGTTTAATCAGTTTATGGAATTACGATACGAGGATTTTTTTGCAGGATAAAAAGGTGTATAGTACACGAAGAACTCTACTACTATTGATTCAGTAAGCATTTTTCTGTCTTATAAGACAATATTTGCTGCCCGGCATGGCCAGGTGGTTAAGGCACTCGACTCGCAATCTGAGGGTCGCGGGTTCGAATCCCTGTCACACCAAACATGC